TCCATGATTTATAATATACAAACTTTAGAAAATATGAGCACAGAAAGTATTTATTCCTTCGTCATTTTCTTTAATGATTTTTTTAATAGATAGGTAAAGCTCAAAGGTAAATTTATATATAGCATAATATTGTCTACTTTTAAGTCTTTCCAATTGAGATCTTGAATAAAAAAAAATATTTATAAAATTATGCCAAGAATTAAAATTAATTATAATTGAGATTTCCTGTGCATATTCTAAGCCATGGTGACACTATGCCTGAACTTTATTTTAAAGGAAAATATTTTATCGCTTTGCTTTTGTTAACTGGGAAAAAGGTTTTAAGTGGTTTTCCAAATAGAAACGTCCTATCCAAGCGTAAGCGTCGCAGTAATACAACAGAAATTGACAGTAAACAGTCTTTGAGTGAATGTGCTCTTTCCTTATTATTAGAAATTTAACTTTTCTAAAAATAAGATAAATTAATTTATGTTATCTCAATAAGATGGAGGATTTAAATTCTTTACCTTGTGTTTACTTTACCTTCGCCAATTCTGCATAGATTTTCGTGATTCTTCTTGCAATTGAAACGGTTTACTCACGTGTTCGCTCCTTAAAAAAGAGAGTGTTTTATTTATTAAACTTTAATACACCTAGAATGTGTAAATGGCGGACTTAACACTATATGGCGTTAACTACCAGTCTATCGTAGACAGGAATAACAGAAAATGTAATTGACGGCGCAACGTAATGAACAATATTACATTAAAACAGTAGTACAAAAATGACATAAGTGTCCTTTTTGTTTGAAAATTGTCACAAATTACTCTACCCGCTGAGATTGATGCTCCTTTGGGTTTTGCTGGAAGAGAACTTTTTTTAGAGTTAAGCTCGCCTTTGTACATTTACTTATCTCTGTAATATTTTTGTGTATTATCAGTATGTATTTAGATATAAAGGAAACGCTAGCATCAAATAAAGCTAAGTTTCTAAAACATATTACGATTCTATGGATTCTAAATAAAGAGGACGTAGTATATGGTTGAATTCCAATTTGGTTGGGACAGATCTAATATTTATTTATTTATTCATTAATACATATATGTGTACATAGCGGACTTAATGCTAAAAGCATTCTCTCCCTGTTAACCTTAGGGAAGTGCCAGAATAATATATTTATCTACAAAATGTGTTTCGTTTTGTGTGTGTGTAATTTTTAAGAGCATGTTTACAATATGGTTCTGTTTGACAGTCGACAAATAAAGTTTTGATTAAGCTACTACGAACTAGGCATAGGTAATATCGATACCGGGGGGGAAAGGGATTGTTAGTAATGGAGACTGAGAATCCCATTGCTAGCAATATACCCTACCAGGTCGACATCCTCGCGGTTCTCCCTGGAAACTATCATGGTTAATCCCTGATAAATTCATCATGATGGGCTAACTGGCCTGTTTTCATTCTCATCTATCACCCTTCACTGCTGCTTCGCCAGCGTATCCCGTTAGCGCAAGCGGGGTTACCATACCATTTTCACCTATAAAAAAAAATATATCGATACCGATCCGATATGTATATATTGGATTCCTCTGGACACTGATAGCGGAAAAAAGGTCATCACCCATTTCGATATCGTCCATATCGGTCGGATATCTACTTTTGAATCTGTTTAAGCCTCTTATCTAATATAATTTTTTCGGATAATAGACTTTTAATATATTCGTTATTGGTACACTATATAGATATTGTAACTAAAGTATATAGATATTTGGGGGGAAGGGATTGTTAGTAATGAGGAGGTTAGTTCCCATTGCTAACAATATACCGTATCAGGTCGACCTCCACGCGGTTCCCCCTGGAAACCATCGTAACTAATTTATCATTGCATTCGTCACGATGGGCTGAAAACTGATCTGCCTTTTCATCCTCATCATTCATCCCTCACTGGTGCCATGTATCATGGTGTATACTAATAGCACAGACGGGGTTACCATTCCATTATCATCCATTAAAAAAAAATTGATATTGCTGTATATTACCCAACCCTACTACAAACATAACGGTTGATTAATGTGGTAGCCTGTGTTTCACAATTGTTCAATACGGTTAAGCATGTGACACGCAATAGATGTTAACGACGGGAATTAACCTCTTTGTAATTAACCCTTTACTTATACATTGTAATACAGATCTTAAAAGTTATAAAGGTAAAAAGAACTTATTTATTATATTTATCGGAGATTTATAATTTTCTGAAGATCAATAAAAACATATATAAAGCAAAAAAGGTGGCTCTTCTATCTTCTACTTGCTGTGCCCGACATGGGATCTATTATATATAATATGGAATGCAATAATAAATATGTAAATATATTTATAATATTATTAGGACATAATATTTTATTCGATCTAATATTAATAAAATATGAATCCTATATGGATCCATATTGCCGGATGCTTGCTTTAATTGCCTACAAAATATCATTTCAGTTTGACTTCACCGTTTATATCCCGTGCGTTGTGGTAATTGCGATCACGTTCAGCAATTGTGGTTATAGTCGCATTGTCTGCCGCCGCTGACACGGCCGTTACGTCTTTATGGCTCGTCATACTCGTTATCACCACCGTCATACAGGTTACGGCGAGCAGCTATTTAATTACACGACATTTGACGGCTCCGAGCGATTTGAATTTAGAAAGAGTGTCTTATTTTAAACTAAGAATAAGGCGAACTGTTCTAATTATAATTAAGATTTGTCCAATTTCAATTGTAACAAAACCAGTGATTGTGATTTTTTTAATGCAGTTTGGTCAGTTAGCCCGTCGTGATGAATACACCATGGCTATGTTTAGCAGTAGATAGTTAACGGCTGATATGATGATGATGATGATATGATGAACACGGAAGCGAATCCTGTCGATTGCAGAAAGAGAAATTAGTTCAGAATCGGCGCTGTACAGGCGAAATGGTAATATTTTGCAGTTCCTTAAAAATAATTTTGGAAGTGTGTCAGTTTGTAAATATGTGGTTCACTCACACATTTATGTTATAAAATATTATACCTACTTTAAAATTTTTGTTATAATTAAAGTTGAAAACTAGTTTGTGAGTTATATAATTAAATTTTGCATCATTTATTGATTATTATGATGTATGAAATAGAAGTCACGTATAAAATAATTAATGTTAAAATTGTTAAAGTTAATTGTAGTGATTTTTATTTATTTATTTATTCTTTATTGGGCAATAAAACTTTGTACAAATAGTGAGCTTAATGCCATATGGCATTCTCTACCAGCTAAGCATTAGGTAAAAACAGAAAGCGTATGAAAGGCAAATGTGGTGAAAAATATGTGACAATTATAGTAACACATTAAAGCAATCATACACAATACATAAGAAATACACATATAATATATAAACATGATGTTGCCAGTTATTATTTTTTGAATTAAAATATTGAACATTAAGGGATAATATTATGAACTTAGATATTATTAGGTATTATATGTAAGAAATATTACAGTAAGTTTATGAATTTGATATCTTTGGCTAGAGGAGTATAGGTATTAAGAGTTTTCTAGAAGAATAAACTTCTGGTAAAGGGTTTGCATGCCAGTAAGTTTCCGTGACAAATACACTACTATGTTAGCAAAGAAGAAAATGTAGTTGTCTTCGTTCACCGTTCACCGTGAAACTTTTAACTGATAAAAGCTATTTTAGTAGTTTACATAATTTAAAAGACTTTGACTTTTACCACAATTTTCTTAAAAGCGTCCCCAAAGTATTCTAGGTGCTTTATTTCATGTGAGATAAAATTTAGTAAATTCTAATATCGCATTTGGATTATGGGTTAAGAATTTATTATTAATAAATTTATTTAAACTTCAATTATATAATATAAGTATAGTAAGTAATAGTAAGTGTATATTATATGGCGGATTTAATACCTAATGGTGTTCTCTACCAGTCAACCATGAGGCAAGCAGAAAACTAAGTAGGCGGTGCATTTACAACAAATTTTTTTTTTATACCACTTAGAATGGCAAACAAACTGACGGCCCACCTGATGGAAAGTGGTAACCGTCGCCTATAAACATGAGCAGTACCATGGACATATCAGAGTATACTGTTTCGCCCATGATACCCCCCATGTGTTGCCATTCCTAAGAACGCAGATGTTATTCCTCTGTACCCTGTAAATTCACGCCATATCCCACCCTTCAAACCGAAACACAGCCATGCAAACACAACAAACGTGACAGAGGTACCCAAGCAATCGACTTTTATACAAAGTCTCCCTCTGATTAATATGTATAATTATTGTTATTAGTATAATTAATATGTATAATTATGTTTTAGAAATGGCCGTGTGGTCCCGACATAGAATAGAAATTGATCTAGAGCACCATTCAAAATGTGAGTCTAGTGATTTTACATCTTAACAAAGGCTAAAATAAGATTCTAGCTTTTCATGTTTAAATCAAGACTTGGAAAATGGAACTATTTATCTAGTTTCGCAGTTTAATGGAAAGATTTCAAGTAGTCAGTGACCTGAAAATGTGGAAGTTAAAAAAAAGAAATATCTATTGATTTGCACTTTAGTTGAAGAACTATAGACATTTAAATTTTCAAAACGCTTATCATAAGAGGTAAGAATTATTTATTAAATATAACGTTTAATTTGATTATTATTAATATTTGCAGATGGTAACTGTACAACTTCAAATTGTACTGCAGATATTAAGGGCTGAAACTTTCGTGTTAAGTAATGAAGAGCATAATTTAGAAGCATTTACGCTTTATACGTTTATCACAATAATATTGGTCAGAATCTTTAAAATAATTAAAATTAGGAATAAATTAAATACTGTAGACTCTTACTTTAATATAGAAGACAAAGAAAAAGGAAAGGAATTAAAACCTTTTTATACAGAGAAGAAGAACCAAAGAGTTATTGATAGGTTAAACATATTATTAAGCCAAAACACTTCCAATGTCACTCTGATGTAAGATTTGACAATTTTGCTGTAAATATATTGAGAAGGTATCGAATATATAAGAACAAAATTTAACTTGCTTTGATATATAATTATAAAAGTGTCTACTTACTAATAAATTATAATAATATTATGTTTACATTCGACAAAATTTTGAAAAGAATTTTAGTAAGGTTATGATCGCAAGAAGATATTGAAACCAGTGCTCAATATGTCTGAACAAAGTACTCAAGAAAAAAGTGAACTCATAATTGCAGAAGATAAAATAAATATAGATGTAGAATCGAATAATTTGGAAATATTAAAACATATTGAAACAAATGAACATGAACATAATGAAGTTATTGAAATAAATAATAAAAACAATGAGAATAATAAGACATTAGAAAATAAAGATAGAACGAAAAGTAATCACCGCATACTTGAAACAGAGAAAAATGATTATGGATATTATGGAGTTGAGAATTCACGAGAAAAACAGAATTCACCTTATACCCGTACTGTTTGGGTAGAATTAGCAGGTATAAGTTTATACTTTTGATTGGTGTAGTTAGAACCTATTAAAAAGTTGACAAGACTTACAAAGTCGTTTGCTTGGGCACCTCTATTCAATCCGTGTTTCTACCGTGAAGCACTTGCATGGTTGTGTTTCGGTTTGAAGGGTGGGATATGACAGTGAATTTACAGGGTACAGACGAAGAACACCTGATTCTCAGGAACGGCAACGCATGGGAGGTATTATGGGTGAAACAGTATACTCTGTTATAGCTATGGTACTATTTATGTCTATAGGCAATGGTTACAACTTTCCGTCAAGTGGGCCGTCAGCTTGTTTGCTATTCTAAGTTGCATAAAAAAACACTATCGATAGAGAATATAGCTACGGTATGGTGTAAACTTTGTCTATTTTGATGCGATGCGATTAGGTGTGATCATGCGTGCGTTACTGCATTTTGGTTTAAGGATTAATATAGCCAATGCAACATACACAGAAGAGGCACTATGCTGTAATCCTCAAAGTGACGACGTACGAGGTGGGCTTTTGGCAGTATATTCTGTAATGTCTGTGTTTTTGTTTATGTGTATCGTAAGTTTAGTATTCACAGTGGTACAAACGTAATATTTTATGTTACAGTTATAATATTCAAATTATTACATTTTGGAAATATTTATGTCCAGCTTTTATCCGTGACTTTATCCGTCTGACTGGAATATGTTAATTATATCAAATTATTATTATTATATCAAATTTCATAGTGATTGGTTAAGATGCCAAGAGGTAACAAACAAATTTACATTCATATTTATAATATTAGTAAAAAAATTTGTTTTGAGATTAAGAGCGTACTAAATAAAAATATCAAACAAGCACTCGTTCTTGTATATTTTTAACGGACTCTACAAAGAACGAGGTTTTTAATTCGGTCGTATGTTTCTTTAATGTTTGTTACCTCATAAACTCGTCAGATGTAAATCTATTTGGGTTTACTTTTATCTGAAACGATATGCTTACATATTGGCTCCATGTAATAACTGATTTTTCCACAATAGAAGTAGTTTTGTTTGTGGAACGTAATTAATACATTTACTAATATTATAAATATTTGTTTATTTATTAGAATATATTGATCATAAAATGATACTTTTTTAATGAAGATTACTTAAAATTACCAGTGATAAGTGACTTCTTTATAGAACTACTATTTTTTGTCTTAAAATTTTTATACCACTTTTAATTATACTTTACAAAAATTCTTTTAATTTATTAAATAATTAAATATAGATCAAGATACATCATGTACGTATATAGAATGCTAATAAAAATGTGTCAGCTAATTGAAAAGATGAGTTTTAACTCAATGCTCTATCTATATAATTTAAGATTGCTGGTTTCTATGTCCCTGTCTATTACTACGTTGAATTTACTCAATTTTCAGGTTTTGGTCGAGAGAACATGGCGCCAAGTGAAGGCATTCCCTTAGATTATGAACCGGAATCAAGAAATTCATTTGTTAAATTTGTATTTCTTATAGTGCTAATTATGCTGCTATGTACAGTTGGATTCAATGTGTTTGTTTTGCTTACGTAAGTAATTATGATTTTATTAGCAGAATTAGTTTGTTTTTTACACTTTTTTAGGTTTATTTCCTCTAATTTAATAGACGATTTTTTCAAATTAAGTAGTGATTTGTATGAAATGATTCAGATTCAGGTTTCTTATTAATTCAATTAAACATGGTTACATTAAATATTCAATTATGTATAGTTCAATTTACATGTTTCAACAAAAAATTGGCGTGCAAAATTTATTAATATACTATAATTTAGATATTTTGTACGTAATATATATATTATAATATATATATTATAGGTATATTAAAAATAAATAATTATCAGCAGTGGCTTTATTAAATGTCCATAAGTATTATTATTAATTAAGCAGTTAAGATAAATTCAAAATTAATGTTAATGATAGTAGGGAGAATAAATAATTAAGGATTGGTGAGAATGGCTTAGGGATTTTGTAATGTAATTTTCCTTTTATGCACAAAAAGTTACAAATCATATCATATCTGATATATCATTACATGGTAGATAATGTCATAAGGTATTAAGTTCATCTTTTACATTGTCTAGGAGTACAGAAGTTAAATAAAGAAAAAAAAAAAAACAAAAATAAGTAGCTTATAACCGTCTTCAGGGTCATATCTATCTTTATACCAAAATTCGTCATAATCAATTCAGCGATTTAGGCGTGAAAGCATAACAAATCAACAAATAAACTCAGTTTTTCGTTATATATAATATTATATAGTTACCTACTTTTAGTAGGATTTTCATTTATTACATTAAACTAAATTCCCACAAATATTTTTGTTCATATAACAAACATAATCCGTTCTAACTTTGAATTTGGACGGGAACTTGGAACATGACGTGACCGAAATGCGTAAAATACGACCAGACTGAGCGAGATTGAGACCGACTAAAGTAAATCAACCATTCACGCGGAACGTCGATGTTGCGGCACCGCGCGCAGTGCGACCCCGCCCCAACTGAAGTATCTATTGTTGAAAGAGCAGTTGTTTTTACTTACTTTGTTGCATTATGCAGAAGCATTTAATGTAGAATTTAACATTTAAATATATATTAATATTGTTTTATCGTCATCACTATAATCATCTTTTCAGTCTTTATCCGTCCGCTGCTGGTCATAACCTCCCCTATAGACTGCCAAAGGAACGGTCCTGAGCCACCTGCATCCACTGATTCCCTGTAGTGCATTTGAGGTCGTCACTCCATCTAGTGGGGGGTCGTCCTACACTGCGTTTGCCTGTACGGGGGGGGGGGGGTTAATGTTGTTTATTATGTTTTCATTGTTTCAAATTTATTTTAAGTTAATTTTTTGCCCATTACTACTAAGGAAATTTAATAACTAAAAATATTTAATAAAACTAATACATTTCACAGAATCACAAAAAAAGTAAAAAATTTATGATCAGTCCCATTCATGATCCGTACCCGACCCAAAGGTCCCCATGACACATGGCAATTAAAACAATAATTTCAAAATACCATACATACGAGTATAATACTTTATTTAATTATTTGTAACTGAGTATAAATTCTATTAGAATTTATATTCAGTTATTTTCATATAATAAGTAACGTAAAATAAAAACAAATAGACCACTGGAATTATTATTTCTCCTGTACTCTAATCCCAGGTGGCACGTATAGAGAGACATTTTGTTGAGTGTTGCCATCGTTGTGGGCCTGATAGCCGACTTGAGTTGCCCCCGTTATATTTTATATTATTCTTGTAAATTGGCATTATATTATTCTTGTAAATTGGCAATTTGAAATAATATAATTTATTATTGTTAGTTGTTGAATAATAACTATCGTGAGTAATACTGTATTTGTAACTATTTATGTTTTTTTTTAATGGGTGATAATTGAATGGTAAAACACCACCCGCGCTATCGGTATACACCGGCGGGGCATCAGTGAAGGATGATAGGTGAGGATGAAGCAGGTCAGTTAGCCCATCGTGACGAATTCAACAAGAATTGTTCACGATGGTTTCCAGGGGGAACCACGTGGAGGTCGACCTGATAGAGTGTATTTCTAGCAATGGGTTCATTAGACCCCATTACTAACAATCCCTTTCCCCCCAACTATTTATGTATAGCTAATACTCATGTTTTAAATTCGGGGATGTAATATTTAATATTGTAATTTTTTCGGCTAAGATGTGGAGGCACAATACGAATGTTTTATTTATCAAGCATGGAAATTCGTGAAGGGTACAATGTCGACGGTATTTTTCATGGTTCTCGGCGACGGTTACCATTTCCTATAAGGTGGGCCGTTAGATGGATTACAATTCCTCTATAAAAAGGAAAATACAAAATTTTTACCATTTCTCTCCTCTACTCAACTCCAGTTAACTTCTGTATAAAAAAGTGAAATACAAAAAAGATTACCATTGGGATGTTTTGCCAATGGTTGCCACGCTTGACAGGCAGGTTAGCAACCTCAGTTAGGACTTTGGTGATGTTTTCTTAACCCCGTACGGGCAAACGCAGTGTAGGATGACTCCCCACTAGATGGAGTTTTTTTTTTGATGGGTGTAAATGGTTTGGTAACCCCGCCTGCGCTGGGGGAAAGGGATTGTTAGTAATGGAGACTGAGAATCCCATTGTTAGCAATATACCCAACCAGGTCGAACCGCTCGCGGTTCACCCTGGAAAGTCGGAGTCACCATATCATTTTCACCCATCAAAAAAAAAAACCCGCCTTCGCTAACGGGATACGCTGGCGGTGCACCAGTGAAGGGTGATAGATGAGAATGAAAACAGGCCACCAGAGGGAGACTTTGTACAAAAGTCGATTGCTTGGGTACCTCTGTCCCATTCGTGTTTCAACCGTGAAGCAGTTGTGTTTGCATGGCTGTGTTTCGGTTTGAAGGATATGGCGTGATTTTACTGGGTACAGAGGAATAACACCTGAGTCCTCAGGAATGGCAACGCATGGGGGGTATCATGGGCGAAACAGTATACGTCGTTATATCCACGACACTGCTCATGTCTATAGGCGACGGTTACCATTTTCCATCAGGTGGGCCGTCAGCTTGATTGCCATTCTAAGTTGTATAAAAAAAAACTCAGCACATAAGTACCCAGTAGGTATTTGAGTCGATCTGACTCGGCACTTACTATAGTCTTGAAAGTGAATGGACGCAGATAGATCTAGGCCGATCTTTGTGGCTATCTATACGAGAGCTACGGCCTTCATATATACCGCCACAAAGTCACATTCATTATCGAATACTGAACATACGAGCTCGGCAATGGTAATGAGATGGTTCTCTAAATAGAAAACTGAGGTCTTTCTAAAAAAATATTTTAAACACTGTTTACCTAAACAGTAATTAAATATCGTTTTGTCGATGTAATAAAGTTTATTTGTAATTTTATATGTTAAAGTCTATATATACATGTATTTATCTATAAACTATTGTATACTTACAGGTGTATTATTGTAATACTTTGTGTGTTTTAATTGGATAGACATTTGTTTGTTTAGACTTAAAGCGATATTAGACATGCTTTTGTAATAAGATATCTAAAAACATGCATTGTATATATGTCATTCGCAAATATAACTATTTTAGTATCTACACAAGCCATGATAACATGATTTGTATCGAGACTAAATAAGTTAATCTGCTAAAAATTGATGATACTTTAGTATTATTTTTTAAGCAATTACCAAAAAAATGGACATTTTCAATTCGTCTAATATTTTACGTTATGCAATATTCATAAATATGCCCTTTTGAAAAACTCCAATGAAATTCCGCGTCCTAAATTAAAATTTTTACAATGTAGGATACCCATGAAATATATGTTTATAGGTGTATATCTGTTCATGAAATCGCCTTTTTCCGAAGCCACTTGTGTGACTTGTGACTTTAACATTTATCTTTTCACAAAGTTCCATGAAACCATTTTTACCTCAGCCGTATTGTTTTTCCCTATAAGTTTAACAAAAAGTTTTTTTGACATTTCTCAAATGTCCACTCTTGTTACACTCTTATATTGGTGGTTACAATAATGCTGAAATACCGCTAGAAGTGTATCCTATCAGGTTGACCTCCACACGGTTCCCCTGGGAGACTACCGTAGATAATTCTTGTGCAATTCGCCACGACGGGTTAACTCTTTCATCTTCATCTATCATCTCCCACTGGTAACACGTCGTTTCATCATCATTTCATTGTAATCCATTAGAAATACTGAAATACGGGGAACTCGTTATAATTTTCGACTTATAACGTGATAGGATATCAATTATTTTCACCACAAATGTAAATAACATTTTATAATTTATTTACTTTGGTGGTGCAGTGATTGAAAACGTAGTTTCATCTTCCAATGGTCTCAGATTCACCTGGGAGTAGGCATGGGTAAAACTGGTACTGCTCCTATATAAAATGAAGGACTCGATCTATCTGACCTATATATCTGACCGACATGGGTGATATCGAATTGGGTGAAGACCTTTAACCGCCATAAATGTAATAGAGGACCTAATATATAGATATCGGATGGATATCCATGTTACGCCTACTAGATGGCACTGTACAATATATCAAGTGGTATTTATTTATTTATTTTTAATTACAGGGAAGATGTGAGAAATCTATTCGAGTCTCTGGGATTAATTCTGCTCCTACCGGCACTGTAAGTTGTAGTTTCTATTCAGGAATTGCTTTTAGATTTGGAGGGTAGATTTAAAATAATGCGTGTGTGCCACAAGAGCTTGTCTATTACTACTACAACTCGTGTGAGAGTGGCGCCCACTGCAGTCGACAATTTTTGATATATATATTCTTTATTGCACTTGTAAGTTACATATAAAATAATCTATTTATAAATGTTGTAAGCAAGGGTGGACTTATCTCTGACAGAGATCTCTTCTAGTCAACCCAGCACAGTAAGAAAGCATTTCGTTTTGATGTAGCTTACTGGAAGATGGCTTTAGGTGGTCTCCAAAACACGAAGTGAGTGATACTCATTTTTAAGAGCTTTCACAGCTTCTGCTTGACAAAGTGTGGCAACGTTGTCAATGTCCGTCAATTTTCAATGGTGTATAAAAAAAAGATAAAGTTTTCAATTCGATGGTATTTTTACATGTTCTTCGTCAGTTATAAATCGATTTAAAAAATTCTTCATTTATCTAAAATGATGTACTTTCAGATTGATCATATAGGAAATTTATCAAAATTGGTTTGGTAGTTTATAAATCAAAATGGAAAACTGGAATTTTTAAATCAAAATAATAGATTTTACCACGATTGTAGTCAATGTTTTTGTGCGATACACCATTGATATTACAGAGTATACTATATCGCCCGTAATACTCTTCATTCGTTGCCATTCTTGAGGGCTACAGTATTATACATCTGCACCCCGTAATTTCACTGCCATATCCTACTTTTCATACCAAAACACAGCCATAAAAACATAACCGATTTATGGTAGAAACACGAACGGGACAGAGGTACCCAAGCAAACGACTTTTGTACAAAGTCTCCTTCTGGTAACTAAATATATATTGGATCTAATTGAATCAAATATTGATTCTCTCACTATATCAAGGAGTAGATAATGATATTAAAGAGTGAAGGGGATGGTGGGGTGGTGGACGGGGCATGTGTTCATGTTGAAGGCAACAAGGCAGTAGGTACAAAATAATAAATTCTGGAAATGTTATTTTTAAAATTGATGACTAAGATTTAAAAGATAAAATTTAAATTTACTATTTGTATTGTGCCTTTTGTCATAAAATGTCGGCGTAGAATGGGCCACCCTTTCCTTTCCCGTGGGCGTCGTAATAGGCGACTACGAACTTAATAATCGAGGGATGGGCAGTAGCGGTCCTTTTAATACATCTACAAAGCCTGAGGCCAGCTTGTCTGCCAAGCGTGGCAACTACTGGCAAAACTCCCTTCCTGAGGGGAAGGCCTTTGTTCAGCATGGGATAGTTAAAGGCTGATTAAATAATAATATTATAATGGCGCCATTAATGAAATGTCGTTGAATTTATTACATAATATTGTTTAACACACTTGTACTGTGTTTTATAGATTGAACAATTTTAATTGAAATTTAGTACAGAGACAGATTGTATCCTAACCTGGAAAATAGAATACTTTATATACATAAGCGAAGTCGCGGGATACCAATAGTAAATTTATATAATTATTTTGGTTGCAGTATAATAATGCTAGCGGTAAATTATGCGATGGTATGTTCTACGTGCGCAAGAGTGACGCCTTGCAACATCGTTTGTCTTTGTATGGCGGTAAATTTAATAAAATTTAGTAATTATATAATATATAGATAATAGTTTTTAAATTTATTTATTATAAATAAATAATCATATTTTCCTTCTTTATAATATTAGTGATTAATATTAAATTATTATTAATAATATTTTTTTGTATATAATAAAATAATACGTGTCGACATAGGCGTAAGTACCTGTTTATACAAACCGGATCGAGGAGGGCAGATTTTTATTGCGTTTAAAATAGAGCATTAGAATGATTTGAATAAGGTTTATTTTTACTTTTCTTTTGTTATATGAGAATGATCGAGAGTCAACAAACAAAGGGAAACGTAAAAATGAGTCTTATTTCAATAATCTAAAATTAAAAAGACAATTAAAATTTGCTCTAGTTCGACTCGGTTTGTGTAAATGAATACTCAAGGCGTGGGTGATGTGGGCCATCGTCCACAGTCTCGTGGTATGACCTGCCTCGTATCCCGCAGTTTTCTGTATTTTTTTTGTCAGCTTAATTATTTTTGTCTCATCAAGGGCTTCGAACAAAATATATTGCATGATTTTTCCTACATCCAATTTAGGTTGCCCGGTAATGGTCTGTGGATATAATTACTATTACCAAGGTTACCAAATAATTCAAATTTTGGTTGTATTATTCGAAATTAGACTTTTTTAATTTTAATTACGAACTACGTCATCTAACGCTTTATCCCGTACGAAACGTTAAAAAACAATTAATACCCATTCACAAAAAGTTTGTGGTTGGGTAAAAGTAATGGAAATTATAAGAGAAAAATATTTCAATTTGAAAAAAATCATAAAAATTTTGTGAGTAATAAAGAAAAACGCATTTAGCAATTACAATGAATGCTAGCTACTCAAAATGACTGATATCCAGAGCCGTTACAACATCTTAAAAAAAAAAGAAAAAAAATTAAGACTCAGTTTCATTGGTAGGATATATCTATGAAATGAATCGTATAACGATTTGTGTAAAGTGAGAATTTTAACCCCGCAAGGTACGATTTATATCCAGCTACTATAATATTGAACAACAAATATTCGTAATAAATTAAACACTTTTTCCAGGTAGCAGCCATGAGCGTAATTACGGCGTATTTCACAGTAAAATACGAAACCCGTTTGGTATTGTACGCCATTTTGGCAACTGTGTGTACTGTTATTGTGTGTATACTTCTGGCTTGCAGTAAAGTAAGTATTTAATTTACTACCAGAGTTTACCCTCAGCTTCGAAGAGAAGGGAACAATCCCTTCTCTTAATAATAGGGATTAGTAGCTGACTTACTAGCAACACACTCTGTCAGGTCCATCCCCTCGCGGTTGGGGGGAAGGGATTATTAGTAATGCAGACTACCAGTCCCATTGCTAGTAATATCAGGTTGAATCCACTCCCATAGGGGGGGGGGGGAGCGGACTCCACAAAGGTCCACTCCCCCTACCCTGGAAACCATCGTGCTGAATGTTAGGTGTATTTATTATGTGGGCTAATGACCTGCCTTTTCATTCCTACTCATTATTACTTACTGGCGCCCCGCCACCGTATACCATTAGCGCAGGTCAGTGTACCATTCCATTATCATCTAATAAAAAAGAACTCACCTGTTTTTATTTTCACCTTTCATTCTTTTACCGGTACCTTGTCAGCAGCTCTGATAGTGCAGACGGGTTTACCATTGCATTTTCACCAATAAAACAAGAGCTATATATATTTTTTATACGGTCTTTTCATCTCTTTTAGAACTTCGTACTCTTATATACCAGAGGGAGACTTTGTACAAAAGTCGATTGCTTGGGTACCTCTGTCCCATTCGTGTTTCAATCGAGAAGCAGTTGTGTTTGCATGGCTGTGTTTCGGTTTGAAGGGTGGGATATGGCGTGAATTTACAGGGTACAGAGGAATAACACCTGAGTCCTCAGGAATAGCAACGCATGGGGGATATCATGGGCGAAATAGTATACTCTGTTATGTCCATGGTACTGGTCATGTCTATAGGCGATGGTTACCACTTTCTATCAGGTGGGCCGTCAGCTTGTTTGTCAGTCAAGTAGTATAAAAAAAACATGCTTTTATTCAGACCTTTCATATTATTTTTTTAAATATCTTTTATGTACAAATAGTATAGTTACAATTTTATTACACTAGTAATGTTTAGTAAGACACTTTAATCCTATCTGTAACACAGTCGCCATATTGGCAAATATATATTTTGCTTGCAGTAAGATATTTCATCTACTATATTTTAATAACACCCAGGTACAGCTCGGTAACGTCTGCGACATATAATTATTTAGTTATTTTAAGGTCGTGACCTTAAAGTTATTAATAAACGACGTACTTTTAGAGTCGCGAGGATCATGTGCTACGTAGTGATTATATACTGTGATAGGGGAGGATGCTCTGAAGATGATAATAAAAACTGGATTCAAATTACTTGTTTAAAAAAAGCGGATTTATAGTTCAAGTATTTTAGTTCTTGGTTTATTCTCTAAATGTAACAAATTCTTGTAATAGGAGGTATTGAAGACATTACATATATATATACAACTTAGAATGGCAAACAACAAGCTGACGGCCCACCTGATGGAAAGTGGTAACCGTTGTCTATATACTTGTGTAGTACCATGGACATAACAGAGTAGAGTAGTAGAATTTCGCTCGTGATACCCCATTCCTAAGGTCCCGGCATAGAATACGCCACCCCTTCATATCCCCTGAGTGTCGTAAGAGACGACTAACGAAGGGCGACGAATGGGCAGCAGAGTCTCTTTTAAAACATCCCTAAAACCTAACTGCGGTTGCCAATTCGCTTGCTAAGCATGGCAACTACCGGCATAGTACCCCCAAGGGGAGGCTTATGTTCTGCAATGGACTGTTAAAAGCTGATATGATTATTTCCATCAAAGATGTGTTAAAATTTGTGCATTTTTAATGTTATTATTTCTTTTATACTCATAAATTTCTTATGAAAGCAGAGAAATGAAGTGAGTCAAGTTTCTTGCCCGTTCTTCTCATCTGTAATTACTAATTACATTCCGAACTGAGTGATAGATTTATAATAAAAATACTAATAAAAAATCTTTATTAAATTTACTTGTACAAAAATACAGAACAAAAAAGTCACATAGCTTGAAGAAAGGATCTTGCGTCACCACTCAACGGGATCACCGTCCCGTATGGGCAAACGCAGTGTAGGAAGACCCCTCCACTAGCTAGAGTGACGACCTCAAATACATTGCGGGGAGTCAGTGGATGCATGTGGCTCAGGACCGTTCCTTATGGGGGAGGTCTATGTTCAGCAATGAACGGATAATGGCTGAAATGATGATGATGATGATGATGATGAACAGAAATTATTTTTATTTTATATACTTTTCAAATATTTGAATATTTGTTTATTTTTTTTCAGTTCGACTTCACCAAATGGATCCTATACGTTGCGCTGATAGGAGTGGCAGTCACTGCCGTCTCCATGATGATATTGATCTCGTGGCTGGCAACTGGCACCTATTACAAGCCACTCCATATTGTTATACTTCTTGTCGGCACGGTTCTCAATGTTGTGGTATGGAAGATTTGTTTTTTTTTTATGCAGTGTAGAAAGGCAAAGAAGCTGACGGCCCACCTGACGGAAAGTGGTAGGTAATTGTTACCTATAGGTATGAGCAGTACCATGGACGTACCAGAGTATACTGTTTCTTCCATGACACCCCCCCCCACCCATTCGTTGTTATTCCTGAGGATGAAGGTGTTATGCCTATGTACCCCGTAAATTTCCTGTTATATCTCACCCTTCAAACCAAAACACAGCCATGCAAACACAACTACGTACTTCATGGTTGAAACATGAATGGGATAGAGGTACTCAAGTAAACGACTTTTGTACAAAAGTCTCCCTTTAGTAAATTGTTATTGTCTAGTTAGGCAGGACGACTGTTAATATATTTTTTTAATTTTGTCTATCTCCACTATGTTTTTAAGACTAAGGACTTATTTTAGTTTTTAATTCTGGACTATGGTGTTATACCTCTGTACCCTGTAAATTCCCTGTCATACTCGTATCCCACCCTTCAAACCAAAACTCAGCCATGCAAACACAATTAGGTACTTCAGGAGGGAAAGGGATTGTTACACATGATTCCCCCTGGAAACCATCGTGAACAATTCTTGTTGAATTCGTCACGATGGGCTAACTAACCTGCTTCATCCTCACCTATCATCCTTCATTGGTGCCCCTCCGGTGTATACCGATAGCGCGGGTGGGGTTACCATTCTATTATAACCTATTTAAAAAAAACTAAGTACTTCACGGGTGAATTATGAATGAGACAAAGATATCCAAGCAAACGACTTTTGTACAAAAGTCTCTGGTAACTGTTACTGCCCTGTTAGGCAGGACGACTGTTAATATATTTTTTAATTTTGTCGTGTTTTATTTTTGTTATTATCTCAACTATGTTTTTAGGTACTGGTCATTGAGTTACAGACTATACTGGGTGGTCGTGCTGTGGAGCTTAGTGAAAACGATTACGCATTGGCAGCTTTCATGTTGTACACGTCTATTGTTGACCTCTTCATTAAAATGCTACAGCTGGCGGGTCTCTTTGATACTTGATTATGCATTATTTTCATTTTGTTGTGCTTTATTTTGTTATATTAAGTGTTTTTTTTTTTTATTATATTTACAGTTGAATATAAATTGTTTATTATATATTGACTCGTGTCTTTTATTTGTTTGGCAATGACAAGCTGATGGTTATATGGTGGAAAGTGCATAGCTGCTTGGTGGCTGAACCATTAACTATTGGGACAGACGTACCCAAATAGACGAATTATTACAGTCTCGGTCTGAATTTGTAGGCACATTGTGTTACGTTTATCACAACGGTAATATTCAGTGAATCCTCTGATCACTCAAGTCTCAATAGTCATGAGTATATTTATTCCCTTCAGTCTCAAAATATTAAATATTATTATTTATTTTGTTTATTTATTTCTTATTGCACCATTGAAAGAATAATACAAATATATGGAAGTACAAAAAGCGGTCCTATTGCTAAAGCAATCTTTTATACAACCTTTGGGTAAAGGAGAAAGGGAAAAAGATGGTATCTATTTCGGGCAAGAAGTGTAACTAAAATAAAAAAAGAAAATCGCAGTCCTCATATATCTTTCGGAATATTTAACTAGATTTATTTGGATACATAAGTCTACATGTAAGTATAGTAGTAGTGTAATATTAAAAAATAAAACCATATTTAACACCTGTAAATCCATTGACATTTTACGATTATATACGTACAAGAGCATCATCCAAAGAATACGGTCTATATTTCAATAAAGGCACATTTTATAACAAGAAAATGTACTCGAAAAGTGCAAATTACCCATGCAATAACCCCATATCTAATACACACACAAAAACAAAACATGCCTCGTAAACTTCATAAATCTACGTGCAGATGTAAAAGTTATGGTTACGGAATCTCGGAGTTTCCATGAAATATGTTCTAGGAAATTGAATCGGTAGGTACTTGAGAACGCTCTGCGCCAGCCACTTTGTCAAATCTGCCTTTTTCAAGAATGATTAAACTTTTTTTGTGTAGTGAACGCTTTTTCCTGATATTGTCTGTGCATTAACTCGAGGCTTTTCGTTTTTATATAAAATAAATTTTCTAATAGATATTACAATATATATATATATATATATATATATATATATATATATATATATATATATATATATATATATATATATATATATATATATATATATATATATATATATATATATATATATATGTGTGTGTGTGTATTAGGTTTTGAATAGGAAACAGAGGTAATCGTCGCCTAATACATGAACAGTACAATGGATGTCACAAAATACTCTTCGATACCATTAATACTCCTCATGACCTGTTATTCTTGAGAAGTATTATGGAGGAGTGTTATGGCTTCATATCTTGTAATTTTATAGCTGTACTCCAATTATCAACCCGAAATAGTTACAACCACAGCTGCTTCACGTAGAAACACGAGTGAGACTTAAGCCATGTTTTTTTAAAATTCCTATTTTGGAGTCTTTTTAATCGATTTTTTAACAACAAACGAGCAGGAAGTTCACCTGATGGTTAGTGACTACCGCTGCCTATGATCACCCACAAGACCAGCGGCATTGCAGGTGTGCTGCTGGCCTTTTAAAAAGGAATATGCTCTTTTCTTGAAGGTAATGATGTCGTGTCGGTTCGGAAATACTGCTGCTGGTAGTTGATACCAAATAGTGGTCGTGCGTGGTATTGTATTATGTTATAAGTGTCGACATTCAAAATTTATATTTTGGAGTCTTCTCATTCGATTGTAAGTATCTACATATGTGCTAACGTATATATGGCTACGCCATCTTTCTATCTTACTCCGATAACAGAATAAATAATTCGAATGCAGGACGAGATGTTGTTGAGAAACAATTGTCAAAAAAAAAACAATCACAGTAAGTTCATTAAACTCCCGTTATCTACTATCACATCTTTTTATCTGTTGCGATATTACGGATTATCTATCAGGTAAAATAGATTTTGAAGATACATCTAAACAATAAGGTGAAATTCAAGAATAATAGTGTTGTGAAACCTCTTAATATTTGTTATTTTATTTTTCTGTCAATGACAATAATTTGAATATTTTCCTTGATGTTCTTTCTTAAACAATCGAATTGACTTATTATAAATTTTTTCTGAACTCATCATCTACTATTTTTCTTCACTTGCTTCCATCGATACCTAATTTTATTTTATTTATATTAATCGGATTACTCACAAATAGGAATCTGATGTAATCAAAGCCACTGGTATTAGTTAGTATTCTGTAAATTGTGCCTTCCTTGGAGATAGAAGGATGAGAGTTTTTATAAAGCAGTCTTTCACAGTGCGGACCGTACCTTTGTTACACGAGAATTGTACAAAACTAATTACAATAGAGACAAACGATTTATACGTGCTTGCTTCGTCCACTGCTCTAGCTGGGATTAGCGTAGTGTAATATTTTTAATATTATTACCATTAGAATATAAACGTGCTTGGCTTACAGATTTACAAAGCTGTAATATGGCCAGCAGACGACCAGACTCATTATTTCAGCCTGTTGACGCAATTATTGAAATATGATTAATTACATTTTAATAATTTGTTTTTATAATAATTTGCAATTGATATATTGAAAAGTAATATGACATTGTATGTACAAATTTGTTTTTTTTTTATACAACTTAGAATGGTAAACAAGCTGACGGCCCACCTGATGGAAAGTGGTAACCGTCGCCTATAGACATGAGCAGTACCATGGACATAACAGAGTATACTGTTTCGCCCATGATATCCCCCATGCGTTGCCATTCCTGAGAACTCAGGTGTTATTTTTCTGTACCCAGTAAATTTACGCTATATCCCACCCACAGCTGCTTCACGGTTGAAACACGAATGGGACAGAGGTACCCAAGCAATCGACTTTTGTACAAAGTCTCCCTCTGGTAATTGAGTGGTGTTGTTGTTTATGGTAAATTTGTTTATTTATTGTAAAATTAAGTAGTGACTTAAAAATAAAATATATTTATATAATTTGCATGCTTAATATTAGCTGAATGTGGAACTCTCTACTTCATCATCATCATCATCATCATCATGTCAACTTTTAACTTTCCTTTTCTGAAGATAAGCCTCCCACTAGGGGAGTTTTGCCAGTAGTTGCCACATTTGGTAGGCGGATTGGCAACCGCAGTTAGTTAACTATCTACCTATTAAATGAGTATAACCTAGTCAAAGTAAATAAAGTATTCCATTCTATGTGGTTTATATAAATCTTTTAAGTAGGTGTTTCGACCTGTATTTCTTTTTTTTTTTATAAACCAGGAAAGCGAGCTGCATGCTCATCTGATGGTAAGTGACAATCGCCGCACATGAAGATCTGTAACACCGGATTAATTGCAAGTGTGCTGCAGGCCTTTTAAAAGGGAATAAGCTCTTTTCTTGAAAGTTATGATGTCGTATCAGTCCGGAAATATTGTTGCTGGAAGTTTATTCCAAATTTTAGTTGTGTGTGGGAAAAAGTACCTTGAAAAATCCACTCTGAAAGTCCGCCATTTATTCAGTTAGTGGGGATGAAACGTTATTTTTGTAGAGGGTTGTACGATTGTGAAATTATCACTCTGAACAATTCTTTAGAACACTCCCCATGATACATTCAATAAAAAGATGCATAGAGGCTCGTATTTATTCACTGTAAGCCTTCAATTCAACTATATATGAGTTGCTATTTTTCTTTTAACCGACTTTAGAAGGAAGGACGTCCTCGATTCAATTATTCGAATTGAAAAAATATTTTTTTGTCTTAGAAAATATACTCACAGAAATCCCATAGAAATTTTATTAAAATAGTTTCAGTAGTTTAAACTAAAATAACTAGTTTTAATACAATTGAAGTTGTAAACTATTAATAATATAAAGACGGAACCTTTTTCCGAAAGAATCCGGTTTTCCGGATAAAACCGGTCTCTTACGTGAAATAGATATTTAATATATACTATCATTATTAAAAACGATTCCTTTACAATAATGCATGAGTGAATAACATTTAAAACTATTCCAAACTAGCAGACTCCAAAGACGTCCTTCTGTCAATAGCTATTAGGAACAGTTTTCACGGGAAAAAGAAAAATGGGAAAAAAGGAAAAACTTTTTCGGGCCAATTTTTCCTGACTCAATAACTATGGCCAACCTATTTCTTTTACAGCTGATTGATTTTAAGAATAAGAACTATATAAGCTTTTTGCCTTCTATTTCATACACGTAGATTTCAGAAGCAGGAATTAATTATATATATATAATTAAAAATGAAAAAAAAAACAATTCGTATATATATATATATATATATATATATTTTTACAACTCAGGGGGCAGACGAGCATGCGGCTCAACAGATGGTAAGTGACTACCGCCGCCCATGATCACCCACAACACCAGCGGCATTGCAGGTGTGTATATATATAGTTAGAATTTTAATATATTGGTAAGATTAGTTCTTTGTAGAAATTTCTCATCTCGCAAGTCCCTCAGAAAAATTCCGAACATAATCCTTTTCATCGTTCGACTGCCTGTTTTGTATCAATCCTACGATTAGGTTACATATTTCTGTACTAGATAAATTGATGCAATGAAGTTATAAGAGTTTAGTATTTTTACTAATGAAATTCTAAATAGACGTAAATTATGACAGTACTGAGTATCTTGTCTACCATGAAATGTTTTCGAAATTTCGGGGTTGATCAAAACATAAATTTGGTATTAAAATTATTTATTATATTACAATACATACCGTTTAAAAATATTAAAAATGTTTAAATATCATTCCTTTGGACGTTTATGTTAGGATTTATGACGAACAAAAAGTTAAGTTCCATTTACTGGACCGATATCAGTATTAAAGAAAACACGAAATAGAGTCCGAAAATCCGGATTTCCACTTCATGGTAGACCTCCTGATTATTTTAGGTTTATTTGAAAATGTCTCATTTTGTAACTCGACTGCAACATTTTGAATTTACGCTTACATGAATTATTACTTTGCTTGTATCGCATTATTTATTGTTATTAGGCATTTCGCCAAAAAACTTCGCCCACCTTCGACCTACTGATCGCGTTTTCAAAATGGGTTTGTGTGAGTACGTTAATTTACTTACAAACTTTATACAAAGTACCTTTTACCTTGTTGAAGGCGGAGACCCTGAAATGGTGTTTGTTAAAAATAGGTTGAAAA